AATTTCAGAAAAGAATTGCACTCTGATTTCCTCTATATCTTTCTGCTGTTGCTTATTTGGTATCGACGCTATTAATTCATGCATTTGAGCTGAGCTAGTGTCCTCCGCACTTGTTCTGGGTGGGCACTGGGTTTCCTCCATATGTTTCTGCATTTGATTCTTTAGTGCAGATGTTATTAATTCAGGGATTTTTTTTTATTTCCAATCTGAGGTCCTCTATACCTTTCTGCATCTGTTTCTTTATTTCAGAAGCCTTTGATTCGTTGCTTTCAGCTGTGTGATTTCCAATTTGTTCTGTGTTAGTGTCCTCTGCACTTGTTACGGGTGGGCTCTTGGTTCTTGCATTTTGTTCCTTCTCGTCATTTTGCGTGGCACTGTCTTCTGACCTTTGTTGTAGATCTCTGCTGTAGTTATAACCTTCGCACGTACTGAAGTTCCGGTGCAGCTCTATAAAGTTTGGACTTATGCAGCTGTGCTTGGCTTGGGTCTGGATGCTGTGCTCAGCTCCTTCCTGCTGCTGCCCATGAGGGTGAACCTGTTGTGCCCCTGTGGCAAGATATTCTGCTCCTGTACTAGCTGATTGGATCTATCCTCTACACTCTCTGCAGAGATTGCAGCTGCAGGGTTACACCTCAGGCTTGTATGCCAGGCCTGAGCTGTGCCTGGAGGGAGCAAGGTGGAGTAGTGGGGAGAGGAAGCTCTCCCTCACACTCACTGGGTCTGGGCTAGGACTGGGTCTGGGGGCTCCCAGAACACGGCAGAAATTCCTACTCGGCAGGTGGGGTGAGGTAGGTGCTGCGGAGTGGTGGTGGGTGTCCCAAGGGGTGGGAGAGGGTCTAGCCCACGCTGCGCCTGGGCTGGGACTGGTCCCGCCGGCGCAGGATAGCAGGAATCTCTCCCACACACTCACCGGACCTGGGTTAGGACTGGGTCTGGGTGTTCCCAGAACACAGCAGCTGTGTTGATTTCTTATAGCCAAGATGAAACCAGTTTCCTTTACTTGTGCTTAGATTTGAGTGTCTTAGTTACAGTAATATTTCAAAATACATAAAAGGTCTCCTTTATTATCTAGGTCCTTGAGAAGTCTAAAATACATTGGGATTAGATTGTAAAGCCTTCTGGATTTGGTGGGTATAAATGATGCCAACAGTAGGGTTTGTTCTGGACTTGACTCATGGCAACTGGTTAAGTCAGGTTTTGTGTAGCTTTTAGAATCAATAAAAATTTTTAAAACTGCTGTATTTTGATGTAACAGTGTAGAACTGGACAATTTTTCTTTTTGTTAAATGCTCCCTTCCCTTATAATTCTATTTAACTGGTTTATCTGAATTGCTTTATATTTTTGTGTTAAAAATTGACTTGGAAGTTAGTTTTCCTTTTTACCAATTTTTCTAAGAATAGTATGTTGATTCAGCATTTTGCTTGGAGGGAAGTTCTTGGCATGTAGTTCAGGCTGGCTGGAAGCCGCAGCAGTCCTGGCTGAGCCTCAGAGCTGAGACGACAGGTGTGTGCCCTCACGGCTGGTCCAGGACAGTAGAGACTGCACTTATTTCTTTATTAGAATTGGTTGAGACAAAGAAAATGAACAACTGGAAGTGTCTGAAAACATCCTCCAAATTTGGCTCTCAACGTTAGTAGAGAAACAGGGACACACCTAGGAATAATGACGCATTGGGCAACATAATACACGGCATCTTCAAGTAGCTTTCAAAAACAAAATGCTTCTTAGAATTGATTCTGTGCTCAACTGAAACACAGTACTTGATGTCTTCCAGGCAGGCCAGTGGGGATGACCTCTCCTCCTTTTGGTTTTTCCGACTGACAGTGCTACAGTACATGTGCACTGATGGAACAGAGGAGACAGTCAGACGATACAGGTGCCAGGAAGGCGCTAGCCCTGGGAGCAAAGCGCCCAGGAGAGGGGGCGAGGCCTGCTCACAATGCGGAGGAATTCCTTCCCAGGCAGGTGCTTTGCCCTCACAACAGGAAAGGCGATGACTATGGCAAGGCGCACTGGGCTGCTGCTGCTGCCAGCCTCCCTGAGCATTGGGCTTTAGATCAGGAGTGAAGCCAGCGGGAGCAGCTGCTTTTCTCTGGTACCATTTAACAAGGGGTGCGAGGCGGGCGGAACCTGAGCTGAGTAGGCAAGAGTAGGGAAGAGGGTGTGTGCACATAATTCTGCTGAAAATTTCCTGTTTTTTAAATACACATGAACTTTATCCCATACATTTTGCAACATGTAAGATGTGACAAAAAATAGCTTAAATTTTAAGAAATTATTCAGATAAGACACATTGGCATTAATCTCCTTCAAAATGTTCTCCCTGGCTTCAAACGCACCTACCCCATTTCTTATGCTGCTCTGAAGCAGTTCCAGAAGTCGTTTCTTTAGTCTCTTGGCATGCTCTCGTGGGTGCCTCGATGTCCTGAATTCATTCAGAACATTTTCCTTTCAGGGTCATTTTGCACGGTGCTAGACCAGCTGAATAGGATGGATGAGGATGCACCTTGTTTTTATGATCCTGCCCTCTTGGGTGGCTGGCCCTGGCAGCGGAATTCATTTTCCGATCAGACTTTATGGACACTCACATAAACGAACTAGAATCCTTTCAGAAAGTGTTAAGAGAGGGACTCATGCGTGAGGCAAGGGGACACATTTAGATGATGCCAATATCATACTGTAATTTTTGTAAATACAGTGTATTCTGATGGGCCCTCTCCATACAGACAGCATAAGGCATGTTTTTAAAGAATCTTCTTTAAAACAGTTTTCTTCAACATAAATACAACAGTAACTTTTTTTTGTTTTTAGTACTGGGGATTGAACTCGGGACCCTGACCTTGCCAGGCAGATGCTTATGTGGCTGAGCTATATCCTTGGCTCAACAGTAGCATTTTTAGGCAAGATGGTAGAGATTATCTTTCTCACCTCTTTGCATTAGGGATTTCTGCTTGGCCTCTGGGGCCTGGACTGCCCACCTGTGTCTTGTCACAGGGCACACTAAAATCGCTCAGGAATGCTAGTGATTTTAACTTTACAAGATATAAAGAAATAAACATTAATAAAATTAACATTATAGAAATACATAAAGTCACAAAAACCTTCCCTCACAAAACTGTTATTAGGTATACTTTCCTTTACATTTTTGGGCATATGTTTTTTAGCACTCTTACATAAGGAAAATGTGGACATCTTTCCCTGGTGGTTAATGGTCCCCACTCTCTTAATGGAGAGAAAGAAACTGAAGGAGCCTAATCTACTACACTGACTTCTTACAGACAGAACACGTGGGTCAGCTTTAATTATTAAGGAACGAAAGTCATCCTGCTTGTGTGCACTTATCAGATCATTCCTATTTGGCGGTTTCCTAAATGAATTTTTAAACCGGAGTATTCTACAATTTTCGACAAGTCCTAGAAAACTACAATCCTGAAGGTTATACCAGTTACATTCCCACATATAACATGACAGACAGGATACGTATAATCTGAATGGTGTGTTCAAAATTGTGTTGCAATTTAACTTGGACATTTTAAGACTGAGAAGTAATTGTGCTGATTACAGATAGAGCTTGATAAACTCTGACTGATAGGGATTCCGAAACCCAAAGGCAGGATTTATAAATCTGACCCCTGTGACAGCCTTTCTATAATTAGCTACTGGAACTGGCAGCAGTGTAGAAACCATTTTTTTTTTGCATTACTGGGGATCAGACTTGGAGCCTTGCGCTTGCCAGGCAGGCACTTAGGCCACTGAGCTACCTCCCTGGCCCAACCACCACGCATCTTAACGCTCCTTTCCTGAGCAGAGCCTCTAGGGCAGGGCTTTGCAGAACACGCACCCGGAAATTCTTCCTGGAATAAACATACGTGTTATGTTAGGACTTCAAATCTTTTAATCCCAAATTATCAGTCACAGATGCTAGTTTGTAAAGAAAAGTAAAACATCTGCTCCCTCAAAATGTGTCCTAGTAACAGTTTTATGTATTGCAAAAGGAGGATTTTCTAATAAAACTGTCCAAATACGATCTTTAGAAGAGTCATGTTCAACAAACCTGCACACACGGCACACTTGCATCTTCCTTTCTAGGTCACAAACTGTTTATTTAAAAAAAACAAAACAACATGGCATGGAGGGGGAGGAGGCAGTGTACTGTAAAACAAGCAGCAGCAACAGTTCCAGCGAGTCTCTCCTCTGTATTCCCAACCAGGGCACAGAATGACTGGATTTTCTCATCAATGCCAAGCTCGAAAAAAAAAAAAAAAGAACAAGAGAAAAAAGAAAAAAGAAAAAGAGAAACCACCATGAAGACAATGCCACATTAGAATCTCTTTCTTTTGATAATTTCTGGCTTCCAGCTGACTGGATGAGTTTCTTCTGTCTAAAAATAGAAAAGCAAATTAAAGTATTATGAGTTAGCTTCGTATTCAACACAATTCCTTTCATCAAAGGTAGTCCTCTAAATCTTAAGACCTGGCACTACTATTAGAAGCTCCAAGGATCTTAAGAGTAGCTGACAAACTTCTGGGATTATACATCAAGCTAACACAACAAGTTCAGTTTATATTTTTTCCACCTAAAATAAATTTTTACTTAGATAACAGCAGGGCAGTTTCTGCAATCAGTCTGCATGGCACAGCCGTATTTGCTGTGAAATGCCCATCACTTTCTCAGTAAGTACAAGCAGTCATCAAATTAAAGTGCTGATGGACCGACTGGCATCAACGAAACCAGTACAGAAATATAGGAGCATATATTATTCAGGATGACAAGCACCTTAATTCTGTAAGCCCAGCTGAACTAGTAGGATTGAGTTTTACTTTTCATGTGTGCAGACAATGGACTTACTGCGGTATCATCCTCTCTGTACACTTTGATAGTTTTATCAGCTTCAGCGGTTAGTAATCGACTTTCAGACTGGTCAAAAGCACAAGCGAAAATTCCTGATTCACTGTCCAAAGAGCCAGGCTGCACAGCCGCATGAACTCTCTGGAAATTGTAGCCAGTTCTCCAATCCCAAAGATGCATAGTGCCATTGTCAGCTGAAAGGGAAGAACTGGTTTCACCTGGTATTCAGCTCAGCCTAAATGTCTTATCAGTAACTACAGTTAAAAGGACACGTAAGACATAGGTCCCCAACCCCTCTTAATGCCTGTCTTGGTATGGTGATGCACACCTGTAATCCCAGCTCTGGGGGGCTAAGGCACGGAGGGTCACAAGTCTGAGGTCTGGCTTATACAGCAAGTTCAAGACCAATTTGGGATAAAACGAAAGATTCTATGCCAAAAAGACGAGAAACCAAACAAAGAAATAACGGTCCACTTATTTTTATTTGTGCTTTTTTCAGGATTTTATTTTATTTATTTATTTATTTTGGCAAAACTGGGGATTGAACTCAGACCCTTGTGCTTGCCAGGAAAGCGCTTATTCTACTGAGCCATCTCCCCGGCCCCATTTTTTCAGGATTTTAAAGAGATTTTTAAGAAAGCATAAAATCTGACTTTCAATTCCAGAATACCCAACATGTAGGCAATTCCCAGGATAAATCCCTAATGTAAGACTTACCATGTGGGGACGTAAAGGGGCTGAATTATAAAAAACTGAGCTACATTGTGTGGGTGCTGAACATGCACGGGCCTTCAAGTCAGCCACTCTCTGCTGGGACTCTATGCGGAGTGCCTCACAAGCCACACAAATGCCTCCTCGTTCATGTCTACACAAACAAAAAGCCACTCTAGAAACGTAAACATTTAACCACTATAGAAATCCTACTTTACCTCCAGATACGAGCACTCCATCGGAATTTACTGTCAATGTATTAATGATAGCATTGTGACCAGAAAGATTCTGAATGAAACTTCCATCAGGGAATTTCCACTGTTTTATGTTATCTGGAGAACCGGATGCAAAC